GACTTAGCAATAGCTTGACAGCCTATCGAAAGAACAATGGATGTGAAACCACATTACTGAGACTAGTTGACAAATGGAAGCTGGATCTAGATAGTAGAAAAGTTGAAGGGGTGTTATCCTCTGACATGAGTAAGGCATGTGACTCTGTTAGTCAACCACTGCTCATTAAGAAAATGGAATCATACAACTTTTCAGGATCAGCCCTCAACCTTCTGCGTGCGTATTTCTCTCACAGACGGAACAGGGTTAAGTTGGGTCCTGTGACGAGTCAGTGGAAAGATACAATAAGAGGTTGTCGTCTAGGGTCCTCCTTTGGTCCCCTCTTGTGGAACTCATTTCAAAATGATCTCACTTATTATGGAGGAGGGAATCCCCATGTATGCAGACGATCATGAAATGTTTGCATAAGGCTCGTCTGCTAGTATTGTTGAAGAGAAACTGCTGAGTGAAGGTAGCAAAATTACTGAATGGTACAAAGAAAACCTGCTACAAGTGAATGTTCAGAAATATCAATCTATGCTTATGGATTCTGGAACCGAGGCCAAAAATAGTATAAACCTGCATAAAGATTTGACTGACATTGAACGATCAAAATCTATCAAACTGTTGGGGGTACTCCTGGACTCTGAACTAAATTTTAGCGAGCATATTACCTTAGTCTTTAAAAAGACAAGTCGACATATAGGAGTTTTAAGTCGTCTGAGAAAACTAATACCCACTTATGCTAAACTACAACTTTATAAAGCCGCCATTTTACCTCACTTGACCTACTGCAGTACCATCTGGCATTTCTGCAGAGCCTCAGACAAACGTAAAGCTGAAAGACTACAGGAAAGGGCCTTGAGAGTAGTTTTCAACGATAAATCACTCTCTTATGACGGCCTGCTGAAGCTGGCTGAAATTCCATCACTGGTGAACAGAAGGCTCCAGGACATAGCAATCCTTATGTTCAAGGCAAAAAAGAACTTACTTCCTTGTCAAATACAGGAACTATTTATGTCAGAAGTAAACTGCGATAGAAGATATTCTCTAAGAAATGCAGATTTTAGAATCCCTCGCTTTAATACAGTAAAATATGGTAAACACTCTATAAGATACTATGGCCCTCTCCTCTGGTCGAAACTTACAAAAGAGTTACGCAGTGAAGAGAGCCTGCACGCATTTAAGAGCAAAATCAGAAGAACGGACATGACTGTCATGATTGATGATGGATGTAAAAAATGTGCGCTCTGTAATAGTTGATTTTTAACTCTACGACATTGATAAATAATTTTAACTGTTAATAGGTTAGGTAAATAATTCTGTATATAGGTTCCAGATTTCTTATTTTTAAAGCTTTTACCCTGTGTCCCCAATTAGTGCTATGCGCTAGGTTTTCACGACACAGAAATAAAGTTCACTACTACTACTATAAAGTTCACTACTATCACCTACATTTACGACGACACAAATTCAATGTCTTATCCGTTGACGCCTTCAGATCTTGTCTATGGGCGACGAGTCATATTAACACCAAACAGCGCACATCACGAAATAATCAGTACTCACCAGTCATTGACAAGAAGAGCTCGACATCATAAGAATTTACTACAGCAAGTTACAACACAGTGGAGAAAAGAATATCTCGCTAGTTTGCGTGAACAGTCAAATGCGAGAAACAAAGGAAAAGCCGCTCAAGAAGTCTCAGTTGGAGACCTTGCGTTGCTCAAAAACGATCCAACAAGTAAAATTCACTGGAAGATTGCAAGAGTCGAGGAACTTATTCCTAAGGCGGATTGAAAGGTTCGTACTGCGATCGTCAAAGTCGGAAACAGCGACAAGCGACCGACCTATTTGCAGAGGGTCATACAACATTTGATTCCAATGGAGGTCAAGTCAAGTATAAACAATGATGACACGCGGTCTTTTGCAGATGTTTCAAATCAAGCTGTGCGACCCCGAATTACTGCGGCTGTGATAGGGGAGATCAGCCGTCGACAAATGAACGTTGTATAGTCTATTGTAAATATTTCTTTTTATAAATCTGGACGTTGAAAGTTTCTCACGGAGTGCCGATTAAACTTTGGGGAGTGTCAGATTCTTCGCACATGTTACATGCGGACCTACGTGAAATGACACGTGTTTTAGCTATTCATTATGTAATGTTTTGTTTCTACAGTGGACCTTTGATCTAATCGATTGACATTTGAAACTAATTGATGTGCATTAACTTGATCAGTGCTTTTAGCGAGACAAGACACATTCGTCGACATCGGCATCTAGGTTAGGTTGTACTGTAAATAGGCACAAATCAGATTAAATCAATTTTAATTACAGTTTACGACTCGAAGTTTATTATAGGGCAGGCTTGATTCAAAAGAAGGGAAATCAAACGGAAGAGTATGCCTAATGTAAAGTTCAAGTAGTCATTTTAGGATAAGAAAAACACGAGTTGTGTCTAATAAGAAAAAGTTAAAAAAAAACTCTCTTTGTCTTGGTGTCCTTTAGTTGAATACTACGCTTCCCTGTAAGACCGACTGGTTCTGCAAAAATAACATTTAGACAAATTATCAGATTCCAAGCCAAATCGGGATAAAATTAACCAATACAGACGTGTTAAAGAAAGTATTCTACAATAACTCTAGGTAAGCTGAGGGTCTTAATAGTGTGTTGGCTTTTACGGCTAACGGTAACAATTATTCTAAAGTCGTCACCAGAAATTGTTTTTAAGGCTAACGTTTTTTATGACTATCTCAAAAATTTTCAATTCAAAATTTTAAAAATGTTCTGAATTTTTTGGCGTTCGTAGCTTCCATTAAAACGCTGCGGCCGCTTAAACCCACGCACATGTCGTTTGTAGCCTGGCTTCAACTTATCTATCAGCCAAAACCTTGACCCTTGAGAGAAAATAAAAGTGATGTGTTTCTTTTCTTAGCTTGCTTTTTTTGTTTTTGTTGTTGTTTTTTGTTTTTCATTATTAATATTATTATCATTATTATTAATAATATTATTATTATTATCAATATTATTATTATTATTATTATGATGCAGTATACACGTTTGGATGCTAGTGAGCTAAGCAAGATAGGGCGAAAATTCGTAGCCTATCTGCATGACAGTACTGTTAACTATAATGATGTCTGATGCTACTTGAATATAAATGATCAATATAAAACAATAAAAGTGTCAATTGGCCCAATACTAAGATGTTTTTTTTTTTAATGTTCATGATGTACTGTTCAGCTCTTAAAATATCCTTAACTTAAAATGTTCATAAAATACTATTCATAAAAACCAAATCATAATGTCCTTAAAGTTCTTACGATGTAACCAGATTAAATGTTCTTGCAATGTTTAGAGTGCTACCTAATACAGCTTTCTGCATTCTCAGCAATATTTCTTTGTATCTTGTACCAAAGATGCCCTTCATTTCAGTTTCCATAGCTTTAGACCATCCCCGAAGTACATCTATAATGACGTTTACTTGTGAGATCTTGTATCCTGGGTGTTGTTTTGTCAGCTCAAGTCTAAGTGCTCCATACTTCTTGGTCTTTTCTTTGTCTTTCTTGTCTCTGTTGTTGATCCAAGGGCAGCTCATTTCCACCATAAGTACCTTCTTGTTTTTGTGGTCGATGAAACGTGCATCCACACGATTAGATTGTACGTATGTATGATCAGCATATACTGGTACATCCCAGTATGCCTCAGCATCAGGTGACTTATAAAGAGGTTTGGGCTTCACATCTGAGAACCATGGCGGAGTACTATCAGCGAGCTCTAGGTCTTTGAGCATCTCAAAGAAGAACACTTTCAAAGCAAAATTGTGCCTTTCTAAGTACTTGGACTGAGCTAATGATGGACATCCAGCAAGTACATGTGGGTA